ATCAGTGCACATGAATTAATACCTGCTGAAACTTTTGGTTATTTCTTTTAAAACATTGCAGAACTTTAACTTCTAAACACCTATTTAGTTCTCTAATCCAGTAGCCCCTCATGTACTTTCTGTCCTTTTCAACACTTTTCTTCTTTTTTATTACATTTCAAGGGTCCATTTGGATCAAATTTTTGGTGTCCTCGTTTTAGAATTGCATTAATGTCTTCAAAAATATTCCCCCAAATTATTATTGAGTCCTGGTTTTCATCTAGTTGGATGTTTTTGTAATTACATTGTTGAGAGCTGTCTTTGTGGTGTGTTCTGAGGGGCGTTTTGCAGAGTGATGTACTGTGTAGGCAGCACATGGCTGCTGACACCGGTGATGTGCGTGGTGGTGCCGCGGGGCCTGTTCCGGCCATGGAAGCTGGGTGGTGAAGCTTTGAATTCAGCAGCTCCAGTCGGTGGCTGTGGGGGAGAGGTAATCTTCACCAGCTCGGTCACTGCAGGAAACGGCTGGCTGTTAATGCAGCTCGTCACAAGGTCCACTGGGAGGATCCTGGTGAGCTACAGACAGCGGTGCAGAAATGCTCCATCATTTTTTTTAATGGAAAAATTGAAACATTTCCCTTCTGATATGGCTCGTTTTGGCTTTCCAGTTTAATTTAAATATAATAATGATATATTTTCACTTTATGGAATTAAATGTGTTTTGATTATTTCATATAATGAAGAAATTTCTCAGAATTCCCCATGAAGGGAAGAATTGCACTTTTGGCTAACTTCTATATTTTGCAAGAAATAATCTGTCATTTAAGGATACAGCTTGTTCCTTCTGCTTGTCATGCTTACGTGGCTTTGCTCTGACCCCACAGGTTTTGCGAGACTGAAGGACTTGACTTGAAGGGAAATTGTTCTGTTTTGGTATTATGGATTAACATTGTGGTACAAGAATATTTGTGAGAATAACTTTCATTTCCTGGCCCTTTTGTAGTTCGAAAAGCCTAAACATGATCATCACCTTTCCCTTCTCTTACTCCATCCACTGTGGCAGTTACAGATTAGCCTTCTGGTTTTGGTTTTGAGAGTGAACAAACTTGAGGAATTTTAATGCCTAATCTTGAGTCCAGAATGTCAAAACTAGTTAATTTGCATAATGCGGTGCTAACGCAGCTCCAGTTTGCTCTGCAAAATCAGTCAGTGGGTGGTGTTTGCAGATATGGGAGGAAGAGCTTTGTCACAGGAAGCTGCTGCCTCTTTGGGCAGTTAATGTGCCCGGGTCAATCACTGTGAGGATTTTGGTGGCTGTTGTGGTTTGGCTGCTGTAAGCAGTGGCACATAGGAGGCTGTAGCACAAGTGTGGCTGCAACCAGCACTGCTAACGTGAAGAACTCCTGGACTCAGCCTTTCATTTTGTTGCTCAGACGGCTTCTAGGATGAGGTCTTGCCTTGGCAGCAGACAAACACTATCTGGTGATTCTCCCCAGATGTCATCCCTTCCTTTACCTTTTTCATGAGAGGCTGCGGAGTTTGGGTATTTCATGATGTGCTGTGAAAGCTGGTGCTGCCAGATCGCTGCTCTGAATGCAGCCTGGTCCAGATGATATTTAAAACCCCCACTGCTGCCCAGGGCTTTTCCAGGAGCCCAGGTTCACAGCGTCGTGGCCAGCATCCCGCTCCTGCTGGGCAGCACTCTCGCTTCCAAAATGCCGCCTCTGGCAGATGTTAATGAATACATTGTTCATGAAGCCTGATCTATCATTTATCACCTGAATGTTCACTTTTATGTAAAAATATTTATATTGGCAACCTGCCACAGGAAGGTGCTGCTATCACCTAGCTTGGTGAGGAAATATGGGCTTGAGTGTCCAGAGGAAATCACGTGGCACCTTTCCAGACACCTTTATGAATAAAAAAATAAACCCAAACCCAGCTTTTTTTTTTTTATTGATGTTTTACTTTTTTTCACCCTTTTTTGATTAATTTTTATAACACACATAAATTGCCTGCAAATCTTTTTGAGGAGTTTGATCTGTTTTACTTTTTACACCTGAGAGATACGAGGAAGACTAAATAAAACCGATGCATTTCTTGGAGCTGCGGTTGCATTTACTTTGTGGATTTAGCACTTAGGAGAGGAGGTCGTGCGAATTTGCCTTTTTAGCTGAACGTGGTGTCTTGTGGCACCCAGAGGTGCCACCACCTTGGGTAGGAGGCAAAGACGAGGTGCGAGCTGGCTGCAGTGCGCTCTCTGCCAGAATTTCCAGCTTGGCAATTGTACTGAACTTGCCTTAAACTCTGCTTGAAGCTTGTGCTTGTTCGTAAATGCTCTTTATACGGTTTCTGTGCCCTCTTTAAGGCTGCTGTGATCCATTTTAGGCTCGGATCTGTGGCCTGAGATGATTAATGCATCTGTTTCCACACTGCTGGAACAAAAGGCATTAAAATACAATTTGTCCTGAGAAAGCCTATTTCAAATACAAGTCATATGAAAATTGTTTATTTGATTTCTGCTCTTTGAAATGTAAAAATATTACTGTGTTACAGAAATGAGAAATTCCATATGGATTTCCTCTTAGAAGTTATTTTCCTTAGAACCCAAAATCCGTATCTGAAAATGGTTGAAGCGGAGGAGGAGAACCTTCTATTTGCAGACCTATGTTTGGAGACAGATCACTTTATTCCAGACTGCATTTGAATGACTTAACTACTTGTAGCTACAGGAACTTGGCATGGATGAGGGGTTACTCTACTCTTGTATGTTTTTGTGAGTACTGTATGAGGTCTGGTTGTTCCAAGTTCACGTTTTAGTTCTAGTTGGATACTGTGTACAGAAATGAATATTAACAGAAGATTGTAACAAAGAGTAGCCTGCTTGTTTAGGGAATTGCTTCACATTCCTTGTCACCTCTCCAAGATTTTACACACTTTATTTTTAATGACTAGCTTTTCTCCTCCTCTGTCATTCCCCAGAAATTTTCAGAGTAAATGAGTTGATGAACTGACAGATGGTGTATAGGAAAATAAAGTGCCCCCCACCCCACGCCAGCAAGTTCCTGCAGTGTTGAACTTCTGCCATCTTGATAATTGAGAAGATAATTTCTATTGCTTGAAGCGTGGGTTCTGCAGGCAGCTTTGCCACTGTGAGAGCAGCACCAGCTGCTGACAGGGGTTCTGCTGTTGTGAACATGCCTTGGGCTGTGTCCAGTTACCACCTATGGTGATCCTCCTCCTACAGAATGACATCTTACTTGATGCTGCTTGTACATCCTCTTAGGTTTTCGATATAGAGGAACCACCATGTGGCTCTGACTGATGGGGATCAACTGCAGTGTATAAAGAAAGACAGACATAGCAATTCCCTGTGTGGGTCTCACAGCTTCCAACCAATCTCAGTGTTGGGGCCTTCTCAGCCAAGAATTGTTTTTATCCGTTTAGCAAAAGTCAGATTTTTTTTTTCCATAAACCTGGGGCTTGGATGCATGTCAGCTGAGGGAGAACGTAACTTCCTACGGCAAGGAGCTCCCCAGCTCAACTTTCCATGTTGTGTGAAGAATCACCACCGTTTTTACGTGTAGGTGTTGGAGGCATGTTAATTCCATGTAGGTGGAGTTGAAGACTTTAACTTCCAGAAGCAGAGCAGTTCCATAGGTGTACTTGTAAACAGTAACAGAGTGTGCTTACTCTCCATGTAGAAGAGACCTCTTTGCCTAGTCTGATCTTTTCTTATCATTATTTCAGAAGTTTTGGATTAAAAAAAAAAAAAATCTTGAACAGTTGCAGGCGTGCCACTGTTAATAGTGCTACAAAGACAGACTTGAGTTAGCTTTAGGAAAGTTACACCTCAAAATTGGAAAAGAGGTTAAGGCTGAAACTTGCAGCCATAATATTGATCTAATTGATTAAAAGGTTTGGAGAAGGTGAGGGAAGTGGCACCTTTGCTCTTACAGCTTGCTGTGATTTTTGGTTACAGTATAACCTAGAATGAGATGGCAAAACTGCTGAGCTTGGAAATCAGTTGGTGCCAAGGGACGGGATTCTTCATTTAATTGTTTGAATTTCAGATCAGAACACAGTGAAAACTAACTACAATCTGCTTGGCTTGTCTTGAAGACAATGAACCATAGTTAAAAACTCTTCTTCTTGTAGGTGTGTGTAATGATATTTTCCCAGTATTTTTATTCAAACATGAAATGTTTAATGTGAATTTCTTCAACTCAAACATCCTGCTCACTTACGTTCCTGATGTTAGTCCCATGGAGCTGAAGAATTGATCTGTGATGGAATATCAGTAATCCTTTTCTTTTTTCCCTTTCAGAAATGTGCAACAGAAGAATGTTTCTTTTTTGAGCGTCTGGAATCCAATAACTATAACACGTACCGATCGCGGAAGTACTCCGACTGGTACGTGGCACTGAAGAGAACTGGGCAGTACAAACCTGGGCCAAAAACTGGGCCTGGACAGAAAGCAATTCTGTTTCTCCCCATGTCTGCTAAAAGCTGATTTCCATGGCGGATTCCCAGCACATAATGCCACGCTGCGCCTAAAGTCATTGTGTTTCCTACTGCTCTCCAAAGTAGCAAAAATATAAGCAATTCTTTGCTGATATTAACTACTTTTACAGGTACCAGATTAAACCATGAATGTTTCATACTGTCTTTGTAATAGTGCTTTTGAAACCTGTTGTGCCAGTGTGTGGAGGTAAAATTACTTGGAAAATGTATTTTCAGGATCAATAGCACTCCTGTTTCCTGCTAAATCTCTATGTAGAGCTATTTTATTTACCTTGTTTGCTTTACAGAGTACAGGAAAACAAACCTGATGCACATTTACAGCAATATGTACCTTTAAAAATAATTTATATCTCTATAGCTTATTAGAGAATAGAGTAAATAATTACTTTCTAATAACTACCTAGAAAGAAGTCCATGAACAATTTCAATATGGCCTAAATAACACTACACTATTAATTATAAATTATTAATATCATGAAATGTGAAGTGTATTGGTATCACGCAATGTTTCTGTAGGACTCGGGCAGCTCCCTGTGGTACAGTTTGTAGAACAGGCCTGTGTAGACAGCGGGGAACTCCCTCGGGGTTATATCGATGTTCTGAAACCCCTCCTGGTACCCGTAGAGCAGGAGCTTGGCGACGCTGCTGGTGACGGGGGTGGCGTGCTGGGTCCGGGCCAGCTCCTGCAGGTCCATCCACTCGCAGCGCAGGCACTCCTGCCGGCAGAAGCTGATGGCGAAGGAGGAGGGCTCCAGGCGGCAGACGATGTACATGTCCGACTTCCCGAAGGCCCCGGGCTGCCCGTGCTGCTGCCTGATGCTTAGGATGGACTTGAACTCGGACCTGATGCCAGTCTCTTCAAACACCTCTCGAACTGCTGTGTCTCCTAGGTGAACAGAGCAGCCCTTGCGGTACAGACCAGCATCGCCTGACACTGCAGCGCTCCTTGAGCTGCTAGAGCGTGGGAAATCTCTGACTCAAGGCATTCCCTGTTCTGCATCAGCACCTTTTCGGAATGTAAGCCTGGTTGTTTCCACACAAGGATAAGCTAATTTTTTGGACCCCGAACAAAACACTTGTTTTGTTGAATCCAATTAAGCAATCCATAGATTTGGCTACGTGCCTTTCTGGTGTATAGCCTACAAAATGGGGAAAGTAAGAAACTTTCGCTAATACTGTTGAGGGTGGGGTTTTGAAGTGGACATTCTGTTGGTTTCTGGCTCCTGACCTCTCAATCCAAGGTGACACTGTGCCCTCTTCTCAGTCCTTCTGGTCTTAGCCCTTGTCTCTCTCTAGTTTCAGATCCAGACCCTGTGCAGCTGAACGCCTGTGGCATGGCAAATTCTGTTTCATTGCACTTTGCCACAGGGAGTCACAAAATGGGTAAAACTAGTGTTCAAAGGAAGGTGAAGGTTTGCACTAAGTCCTTTTCAAGATGTATCTTAAGTGGCTGTGACATTTCAAACAGGCCATCACAGCAGCAGAGTGCGGTGCCGTGTCCTCACAGACAAGGGATTGAGTACGTCAGCCAGAGCCACGTGTTCACCTTCCTTGGTTAGGAGCCCTAACTTGACGGGACTGGAGGGTTTGATATTCCCCTGATTTCCCCAAAGCCTGCGGCTTTGCTCTAGTCAAGTCAAATCTGACTTGCCTGACATAGCTACTGGTAGGTAAAATAGTGGCTTTTTCCAGATCTGGGGGAGCTCCCCGCTGGGGCATGGTTCGAGCAGTAAACGCGCGTTGCCTCGGGCAGCGTTCCCTGCTCCACCAGCTCACTTCAGCAGGCCGTGAGTGTCCTGGCTTACTGCTGAAAGCACAGTGCCTTTTAAAAGACCTTGCAGAGATTCACCTTCCGATGGAAGCTTGCGTCGCGACGCGTCAGAGCTGAACAAAAGGGACATTTTAGGGGTAGCTTCAGATATTGGAAATAATTTGGAGATGCAGTGACTAGCATTGTATAAACAAAATGCTTTATCCAGCAGAGGCCAAACAGCTGTACGCTGAGGGCCCTGACTGCACACCTCCTGCTTCAGCTCAGCTTCCACCTTGTACAGCTTACACCAAGGATATGGAGGCTGTCATGGGACTGGAGACCCACGTGGAGCCTGCAGAACATTCATGTTTGTGACTTTATTACAGTATTAATTAGTTAAAAAACTGCTGCATATGGGGAGAGCTCCTCGTTTACCATTACTGACCCTTGGAGAGACTGCCTAATGGCTCAATGGTTGGACTTTATGATCTTGGAGGTCCCTTCCAACCTAAAGGATTCTATGATTCTATGCATTTTATGCTGCCCAGAGAGGCCTCTGCAGTGCTCTGGTTCGAAGTGGTGGCTGTGAAGCAAACTCCCTGTGGCAAGTGGTTTTGTTGTTTGGCAGATTTTTTCGAAGGGGAGGAGGGGGTCATATTGCATAAAAGCAGTCACAGAAAGGAAACAAACAGCTGAGATGATGAGGAATGCTGAGGCAGGCTATGGCTAAGAAAAATTAAATAATTAGGATTTAATTTAAGTTTTGAGTTGCGCTTTTAGCTAAAGTGCCTTTTTCCCTTTCCCTTTTATTTATATGTGTGTGTATATAT